GTGCTGAGCCAGCAGCGGGCCAAGGTGGCCCTTGGCACGGCCCCGTTCCCGCTGTACACGGCGTTGCACGCCAAGCGGGACGTGTCGGCCGACGAGTTCCACGAGTGGGTCGAGTTCTCGCCCTTCGAGATCGGCATGCCCAAGTACGGCGTCTTCCTCAAGACCGAGGACTTTGGCAGCAAGTTCTACATCGGCAGCATCATCAAGCGGTATCCGGAGCCGCCGCTGACCTACCTTCAAGGTGAACTGCATGTCTGCATCATGGCCTAATTATTATTGTCGTCGTTATTAGAATACTGCTGTACAGTGCAGTTGACGCCTTACATAACGGGACTTGATGCGTGTTGTGTGAAAAATCTGTTGTGAAAATTCAATTTTGCTCTATAATAATGTTTACACTAGCTTGTGCAAAATAAGCAAGATTACTGCCAAAAGAAGTTGAAGAAAAAAGAACACAATACACACACATTCATGGCAATAATGAAGACAGTTTATATTCAAATTAAGTTGGGAATCAAGGGGGTGGACCTACTGAGGGACTCACGTCCACTGATGGTGGTGCACACTTCTGCAGACTCAAGTCTGTTATGTGGATTTGTCTGTTGTTCAAGAGAAAAAACTGCCTGCATCAGAGGTCGTCTGTTCTGCAAAAATCTGTTTTGCAAGGATTCAACTGTAGAGTACAATACAATCAAACATCTCTTAAATGGACCAGCAGCCAAAAGTACTTGAGTTAGGAATGAGGTTTTGAGTCAGGGAAACAAGCGTTATTTCATCTGTAAGGAGGAAGAATTGCAGGAAATATTGTGAATGTTGATACACTGTATAGTCTGGTGGAACTTGAATGAGTGGAGAGCACGGTCAATGTTGAACTTTATGCTTGGAGGAAAGGTTCATATTAGCCCAATTAGTCTTTCCCTTCCTTTCAAAACACTTTTACAGTACAGTACAGTACTTACAGTACCTTGTTATTGCTTTTCTCTTTCCTGAATGTGTCACTGAAATAATAGCCTGAATATAAGGACTTGAGAAAATTTGACTTGTGGAGTTTTGAGGGGGACAGCCTTAGCTTGAGATATGCAGGTTTTTAATGCATATTGTTCCTAAGTAGCGAATTCAGACTGGGACTTGGAAAAAAAATTTGACTCATGGAGGTTTGACTCATCAAGGTTCAACTGTTCAGTAGTTGATTTTTCTTTCACTGTTTGGCATGATTCCGTGACTAGCATATTAGGTTTGGTACGATTGAATTCAAGTTGTTTGGTCAAGTCAGGCAAATGATTCATTAGTCAAGATAGTTTTTTGTGTACTGTATAGGTGCTTGCTTAGTGATTTCTTATTGACCACTTTTCCACTTTTGCTGGTACTGTACCTTGTACAATATTAGCGTACATTCCGCAAGCATTCCACTTTTTCTTTGTACAAATAAATGACGATTTTCCATAGATTTAAATGATAAATAAGTTCAAAATGTTCCCAAGTTGCAAAAAAAGGTTGAAAATTTGTATTTTCTTTCTATTCATCTATTTTTCAGCATAAACCCTCGTAGACGCAAAATTTTAAAACCTGCAATCCGCGCTTTCTGAAGAAAATATCAAAATCGAAACCCATTTCCAAAACTTTTTCATTTTTAAAAAACTTGATGGTTTGCTGTACAAACTTTGTTTTTGAACCCGTGATTTTTTTGTTTTGTCACGAAATTCAACCTTTTATCATGAAGGATGTGTATATACAGAATGTAGCCAATAGTTGCTTAAAATTATTTATATGTGCCTGTTGCAGTTATTTATTTATTCTTTGTAAAGCTTTGTAAGCTTCTTCTTGTAAGCTTCTTTGATGATGGTAATGGTCATGAGTTGAACGACGACTTCATTGTGAGAAAGACCTGTGGGAATTATACTAAGATGAGGAATTTTATTAATTTTATTTTAATTTTTTGCATGATTTGTATCACAAAAGGGGAAAATTCTGCTTGGATGATGGTATTCTGGCATGGATGGATGTTACTATAATTGATTATTGCAGTGCAGTACTGCATAGTACATTAAAATGTCCAGTTGAGATTGTTTTATTCGTGGCGAACTGGCGACTAAGATATGTCACTTGTCCATAGTTATGTACAACACTGTATATACTGTGTTTTCGAATTATTCTTCGGGCGCTGCTGCTGGAGATGCGGAACGAGTCTGCGTCAACATTTCAAATTAATTGAAACATTTTCCTGAACAATAAGGTAGCGATGAGGATCTTCATTCTCAGAGCAAATTTATGAACAATAGAGATGCTCTATAATATATACAGTACTCTCTACAGGTCTTTACAGCCATCTATAAATTATATATACTGTACCGTTGTTTGTAATGATGGAGTTTTTGTCGTTATGTACAGTGCTGTACAGCAAAGTAAATGACGACATCGTGATGCTGATTTGTTTGCTGCTGCTGACAATGCTGCAATTTTTTTTGTTTGTTTGTTTGTTTTTCGCGGGCAAATGAGAAAGTGCTGCTGCTGATGCTTCCTTCCTTTTGCTCTGTCAGCTCAGCTGTGGACGACGTCGTATTAGGAACACGGAAGACGACGAAAGGAAAATATTCCGTGACCTCTTTACATTCTCTTGTACAGTATCAATTATTCATCGTCCCACGTATTTTCGAGGCACATGTACATTGCAATACTGTACTGTACTGTACTGTACGAACGTGTGAGTAAATATACGTCGCGAAACCCGGTAAATATTAAAAATACGCACATCACACACACACAGCAGGAAGACGACTTATTGAAACATTTCCTGATGTGCTGGTCCCCTCTTTGCAAATACTGATGTTCACGAAAACACGTTTCCTTCATTGTTTAAAGCAAACGCCGATGAAACGTCTTCCGTAAATGCAGTACTGCTGTACTGTACTGTACACATGCTGTGTTTGTTGTTGTTGTCCNAGACGGGTACCCTGACTCCCACTGGGAGCTGGAAAATGACACATTGGGAGTTGGGGCCGACGCCTAACGCTGGCGCACCAGCAGTGCGCTGGCAACTAGCCACCCAACTCCAAAATTTTTTGCTGGGGTGCCCTCATGTCGGGCCTTTTTTATTAATTTTTTTTTCAGGGAAAATAAGTGTCCGTATGTCGAATTGTCTGCAGGTCGAGGTGTCTGCATGTGTGGGTCTCACTGTATTTCCCTAATTAATCTATTGATTTTTTTTCCGTAACTAATGCATGAATTATTATTCCGTAATTAATATATTGATTATATCATTCCAAGGGTATTATTGCCGCCAGGTCATCAAGATAATCCCGCCATTTCCATCAACAGCCGCCTGATTCCCGTCCCAAGTGGGGACTGTTGACGAAAATGGCGGAATTAAGGGCGGGAACCCTTGGGATTAATGCCATGTCCTTTTTTTTTTAAAACAAAACAATTCTGAAGGGAAGCCACGAAATTTGCGAAATGGGCGCCTCATTTTTGGGCTGCTGAAGGGCAGAAATAGTTGCCATCAGGGTGAAATTTAATTTAAAGAAGAAAAAAAAAATTAATACGTCCAAATAACAGGGCTGAATGCCGAAGAATTTTTTTTTCTTTCTTTCTCAAGAGTAATTATTTTTTTCTCAGGTCAGTCTTTCGTATGCCGTTCCAATCTCCATTCAAGGAACATTTGTTAGATCCCTGTTGTATATACAGTACTGTATATATAGGGCCAGTAATACATAAATGAATGAGTGACTCATCGATCAATAATGCCATATGTTGTATTGGCGTATATACATCATCAGCAATATGCTTGTATGCTGCATACATTTAATTATTTGTGAATGTTTTTGAAATCCCTGTACAGTATACTGATGTATCAACATGGACTGTATATTATGCTCAGTAATGCTCGTCTCGCTATTGTGCTGTGTTATTATTCCTCTTCATCGTAACTTGAATAATTGAATGTGTACGTACTCATACTGAAATATGTATGTATGAAATGCGTAGAGGAAGCAAGTCGTGCTGAGCCAGCAGCGGGCCAAGGTGGCCCTTGGCACGGCCCCGTTCCCGCTGTACACGGCGTTGCACGCCAAGCGGGACGTGTCGGCCGACGAGTTCCACGAGTGGGTCGAGTTCTCGCCCTTCGAGATCGGCATGCCCAAGTACGGCGTCTTCCTCAAGACCGAGGACTTTGGCAGCAAGTTCTACATCGGCAGCATCATCAAGCGGTATCCGGAGCCGCCGCTGACCTACCTTCAAGGTGAACTGCATGTCTGCATCATGGCTTAATTATTATTGTCGTCGTTATTAGAATACTGCTGTACAGTGCAGTTGACGCCTTACATAACGGGACTTGATGCGTGTTGTGTGAAAAATCTGTTGTGAAAATTCAATTTTGCTCTATAAGAATGTTTACACTAGCTTGTGCAAAATAAGCAAGAATACAGCCAAAAGAAGTTGAAGAAAAAAAAACACAATGCACACACATTCATGGCAATAATGAAGACAGTTTATATTCAAATTAAGTTGGGAATCAAGGGGGTGGACCTACTGAGGGACTCACGTCCACTGCATGATGGTGCAGACTCAAGTGTTATGTGGATTTGTCTGTTGTGCAAGAGAAAAAAACTGCCTGCATCAGAGGTCGTCTGTTCTGCAAAAATCTGTTTTGCAGGGGTCAACTGTAGAGTACAATACAATCAAACATCTCTTAAATGGACCAGCAGCCAAAAGTACTTGAGTTAGGAATGAGGTGTTGAGTCAGGGAAAACAAGCGTTATTTCATCTGCTGTGGGAGAGATGGAAGAATTGCAGGAGGAAATATTGATACACTGTCACTGTATTCTGGTGGAACTTGAATGAGTTGAAAGCAGGGGCACTGTTGAACTTGGTGCTTGATATGGAGGCAAGGGTAAATCATTAGCCCAATTTGTCTTTCCCTTCCTTTCAAAACACTTTTACAGTACATCAGTACAGTAGTTACTGTACATTTTTATTGCTTTTTTCTTACCTTGATGTGTCACTGAAATAATAGCCTGAAATATAAGGATTTGGAAAGATTTGAGCCTTAGCCTTTAGTTATAGAGGTTTTTAATGCATTGTTCCTGAGTAGTGAATTCAGACTGGGACTTGGGGAAAATATTTGACTCATGGAGGTTTGACTCATCAAGGTTCAACTGTTCAGTACTGTAGTTGCTTTTTCTTTCACTGTTTGGCATGATTCCGTGACCAGCATATTAGGTTTGGTAGGATTGAATTCAAGTTGTTTGGTCGAGTCAGGCAAATGATTCATTACTCAAGATAGTTTTAAGTGTATAGGTGCTTGCTTAGTGATTTCTTATTGACCACTTTTCCACTTTTGCTGGTACTGTACCTTGTACAATATTAGCGTACATTCCGCAAGCATTCCACTTTTTCTTTGTACAAATAAATGACGATTTTCCATAGATTTAAATGATAAATAAGTTCAAAATGTTCCCAAGTTGCAAAAAAAGGTTGAAAATTTGTATTTTCTTTCTATTCATCTATTTTTCAGGACTTTTTCAGCATAAACCCTCGTAGACGCAAAATTTTAAAACCTGCAATCCACGCTTTCTGAAGAAAATATCAAAATCGAAACCCATTTCCAAAACTTTTTCATTTTTAAAAAAACTTGATGGATTGCTGTACAAACTTTGTTTTTGAACCTGTGATTTTTTTCTTTTGTCACAAAAGTCAACCTTTTATCATGAAGGATGTCGGGCCAATTATTCGACAAAGAAGAGAGTAAAGAATTGGACACAGCAAACAGCCTTTAGAGGCCGGATCCTCTTCAAGAGAGTCCCTTAATGCAGCACAACTTTAATGCAGGCACAGGGTGACCACAGAAGGACAATAAGTACGCTCGGGTAAACTCAGGCAAACAACAGATAATTGCAACAGTATGAATAGCTCTGCACAACCGCCATAAGGCAATCCCAATCTCTGAATAATGTAATCCCGAAGTCTTTGGGACTTTGTCCCAGCTTCCTCTGCTGGAGATCTGTATCAGGTAGTTACTGACCTGGTTTACCGCAATGCAGCAAACCGGGTGCCTATCTGCTTCCGGGTCCCTGCGCTGCTTGTTGCTGCGCGGCGTGCCCAAGTGAGGATGCTGCGCTCTGGTCACGCCACATGGACGCAACCCCACAAAGGATGTGTATATACAGAATGTAGCCAATAGTTGCTTAAAATTATTTTGATGTGCCTGTTGCAGTTATTTATTTATTCTTTGTAAAGCTTTGTAAGCTTCTTTTGATAGCATCCTATCCGCATAATTTAGTTACACTATACTGTACTGTACTTCCTGTATAGTAAAACTTGTGTCCCTGTATCCAAGCACAGCATTTTGTTGTTGCTTTTCGTCGACAGGGATAAGGGTTTTCTTGAAAACCTCGTGGAATATAATTTTCGCACGCATATTGTTTTGGACGAATGAACAGAACGAGCGACAATATAATGGCTTATCGACTACCGTAACAAAAAATGATGATGATGATAATGGTCATGAGTTGAACGACGACTTCATTGTGAGAAAGACCTGTGGGAATTATACTAAGATGAGAAATTTTATGAATTTAATTTATTTTTTGTTGCATGATTTGTATCACAAAAGGGGAAAATTCTGCTTGATGGTATACTGGCATGGATGGATGTTACTATAATTGATTATTGTAGGGCAGTACTGTGCAGTATGTAGTAAAATGTCCAGTTGAGATTGTTTTATTCGTGGCGACTAAGATACTGTATGTCACTTGTGTATAAAGTTATGTACAACACTGTATGTATATACAGTGTTTTCGAATTATTCCTCGGGCGCTGCTGCTGATGGAGATGCGGAACGAGTCTGCGTCAACGTTTCAAATTAATTGAAATATTTTCATGAGCAATAAGGATCTTATTCATTCCCAGAGCAAATTCATGAACAATAGACGAGATGCTCTATATACTGTACTATAATACTTTGTATATAGGTCTTTACAGTCATCCGTAATGATGGAGTTTTTGTCGTTACAGTACTGTACAGCAAAGTAAATGACGACATCGTGATGCTGATTTGTCTGCTGCTGCTAACAATACTGTAATTGTTTCGTTTGTTTGTTTGTTTTTCGCGGGCAAATGAGAAACTGTTGCTGCTGATGCTTCCTTCCTTTTGCTCTGTCAGCTCAGCCGTGGACGACGTCGTATTGGGAACACGGAAGACGACGAAAGGAAAATATTCCGTGACCTCTTTACATTCTCTTGTACAGTATCAATTATTCATCGTCCCACGTATTTTCGAGGCACATGTACATTGCAATACAGTACTGTACGAACGTGTGAGTAAATACGTCGCGAAACCCGGTAAATATTAAAAATACGCACATCACACACACACAGCAGGAAGACGACTTATTGAAACATTTCCTGATGTGCTGGTCCCCTCTTTGCAAATACTGATGTTCACGAAAACACGTTTCCTTCATTGTTTACAGCAAACGCCGATGAAACGTCTTCCGTAAATGCATTACTGTATTGTACTGTACTGTACACATGCTGTGTTTGTTGTTGTTGTCCTCGTCGTCGTCGTCAAATTCCGGCTTCCGTTCACCATCAACAACAGCAACATTTCCAAGCTTCCCCTTCGTCTCATTTCATAATGCAAATTAATTGTACCTCGAAAATTCCCGGCCGGCAATTCCGTAATAATTATGCATGCAGTATTTGCGCGTTTCGAAAATGCAGTGTGATAATAATATTCTATACTGACTGAAACGACGTGATGTTGCGTCAAGACTCGTATCTTTTTCCATTATTGAGGCCAGGAACTTTCGTGCTTACGTGGGACGATATGAGAACAACACTGAAAAATTAATTATTTCAATGGTCTATGGATGCTGTTCATTGACTCTCTCTCTCTCTCAGTAATTGGATACAAATGACAGCCTCCCCTTTATTTTTTAAAATCCATTTCGAACATAGAAGGGGATGAAAAGCACAATACTATATACTGCACATGCCCTGATGTACTGTACAGTATTGTATTACAGATTACTTTAAATTTTGCCTAAATATGCTGTATTCATGGTGAAATGTCACGTGAATGAGGTGATGAGGTAGATTATTAAATTCATGATTGGAATTTCGCGCTCGTATCAATTTATTGCGAATGTGTGATTTCTAATTTTTATTTTTTTTTTTATTTTTTGGTGACAGGAATTTGGGGCAGTGCGTTCACGATTCTGTTCAAGCGGCTGATTGCCGAGGCCAACAAGAAGGACCTGATTGAGCGACTGCGCGACCGCCAGGCCAGAGTGGACACCGCCACTGCCGCCGCCTTGTCATCGTCCCGATCCTCGTCGGCCGTCACGACGCCGACGCACGAACGCCGCTTGTCCATCAACGACGACGTCCTCGACGACGAGGCCGACTCCTTGCGACGCGAGATGGGTCAGCGCATTTCAATATCCAGTAATATCCTGTAGTGTAGTGTAGTGTGTATATACTGTACAAGCAAATCTCTTATTCGAAAATTATATGTTCGGGGAAGTATGTATATAAGAAGGGGGAAACAAAATGAATGCCGGGAATTTTAATTATGGGCCTTGTATTTATGTACCCTTCATCTTGCATAAATTGACAGGATTCATGCTGAACTTGCATATATATATGGAGGCAAAGATTCCGCGTTTTCGCAAATATAGTCTTTGATATGCACTCATTCGTCCTTTCAAAATGAACGTCTTTGCTGATGTGTAGATAACAAATGCAGTAATTGCCGAAAATACCGTGCTGGGGGTTTGAGAGGCGTGGATTGTTGTACTGTACTGCATACATATAGAGTGAGAGAGAGAGAGTGAGTCCACCTGCCAGATATGTTTTCTTCTGCTTTTGTTTTGTTTCGCTTTGTTTGTTTTTTTTTTTTTTCAATAAGAGAGCGCCTCATTGCAAATTCCAGCAGCATTGCATTCGAGTCAGTGTCGGGAATGATAATACGAGGATGAGGAGGATTTCTGCTGCTGCTGCTGCTGGGGACAAACCGTGGCCCAATTAACTCCTTGATCATCCTGTCATTCAGATTCTGTGCTGCAATATGTGACAGTGTGTCTGTAATGTGATATACACCTACTATTACGCTGAAAGCAAGCCGTGGAGATTCCATCACGTTGACATCAGAGGCTATCTGATATGTATTGTATACACGGTGATGTATACATGCAGTCCATAATAATAAGCGGGGCTGCAAAATAAATTGCATGTGTATATATAGGATGTTTTTCGTCAATATGACTGGCAGCATTCTCGATTCGCGTGGATGCTGACGGCTCAATTTATTTGCTTGGATGCAGTGTATACGTACGATGACAACTACAATAACGTGATGCAAAAAAGTATTTGCCAATATTCAACACATTTGATGAATATACATTATAGAGAGGTGGAATTTTGATTTTTTTTAAATAACAACCTTTCTGATGGTTTCCCTCTCACATGAGCAAAATCAAATGACATGCACAATGTGTCATTTCCTATACTTGCATGATGGACAAGTTATTGGACAAGTAATATTTAAACTAAAGCCCCTGCTGCACATCTTTTCTCTTTCAAAGTTATGGTGGATTGCTGGTGAAGCAAATTCTAAATTAACAATGTCACTTTGGCTCAAGTCACAGAATTGAAAAAAAAATGTATATATATTGAAATTCAGACATTTTTGAGGTGCTTTGAACCTTTGAATTCCTGACTCCGCTTTTATGGATGGATTTGAAAAAAAATGTACTGAACTTCAAATGACTTGTGCTGATTTTTGTTGTTGTTGGGAATATCAGAGCTCTTTCTTTCAAGATTTAAAAATCTCCTTGCCAGGTTATTGTGCCGACACTTTCACCTTATCTTTGTCAGTACTGTATATGATTTTTTTTAAATCCTGACTGACTTTTTTTTGTGTTCAAAAGAAAAGAGATAAGAATAATAATAATATCTGCAAGTGCTGGAAGAATAGGCTCTCTTTCTTTTGTCTTGCATTTTTTGCGCACCTTGGATTCAAGGGATGAATTGTATCACACAAATGATTGTTTTCAAGATTTGGTTCCCACAGCACTTTGTTCAAAAAGCCACGCTGATGATCTGCATTTGTTTCACTTGGTTTGTCCAAGGTTGGTTATATTCATTTGAAAATTGAATTCACATTTTATTGAGGCATAACAATGAGTCCTGAGTATTTTTCCTGCAAATGAATATTGTTTCTTTTATGTCCTCCAGAAACAAAGGTAGAAAATCATTGTTCTGTGTGTGCTGGCAACTAGGAATAAATGGGTTTTCATTTAAAAAATGAAAAAGGTGGACTTTCTCTGCAACAAGATTCAAGGAAACAACGAATAATTTGTTGTACAGTAGATATAAAATTGTTGCAGAGGGAGAGAGTGACTCAAGGAAGTGACCAGCCCTCCCTGCTGGTCATTGCTATCTATTCTTGGGAAATGGAAGTATTTCTCAAATTTTGCCAATGCGTGGCTGCTGATGGGCACCTACAGCACAATTGTAAAAAGTACCAACAGAGGGCCTTATTAAACATGTAACCATGGAGCTTCAAACATTGGAATAAAAATAATAAAAAAACCTTTTAGAATTTTGAACATTTTGCCCAGGAGGTGTGGCTGAACACCCCCAGCAGCAGCTATTGTGTTTCTATATTAAGGGCAGCCCTTATAAACTTGAGTGTACTCCATTTACTGCATTCCCCCAATTTTGCATCATTGATATCTTAATGATGACATGAGTCATCTTCTATTATTATTATTTTTTCAAAGTTTCTCATGCATATTGTACAGTCTAGACATGGCAAGGTTGCATTGGGGATTTTGGAGTGGAGCATAACATCCCACTGCTTTATTTTTGTTTGCACTTCTCACCCCCATATCTCTTGAATTTTGAGAATATGTGCACCCTCTTATTGAAGGCAGCATAAATTATTGGTCCTGTGCCAAATTCATCCCTAAAAACAGTTCTGGAGAATGGCAGCTTAGTGGAAGGAGTTGCCTGATGCCTTTTTTTTCAAGGTTTTAATTCAATTGGTTCTTGTGACCATGCTGTGGCACTTATTGGTACCATATAACCACATGCAGGTGAAATTTGACAGTCAAATTGGCAGGGAGGTTGATTTTCAATTTGACCTCTGCCCCAAAATTCAACCTGCTTCAGCCAGTATTTTTTTTTTTCGATTTGTGTGCTGATATTTCTCAAATTTACAAAGTTTCTTGCAATTCGACCCTAGTCCTACAACAGATTAAGGTTGAGTTCTGAGGTACCATTCAAAATGGAATAAATTGAGCTTTCATTTGGCGGGTTTTTTTCTTTCATTTCCACAGCAGCCCAATTTGCTATTGATCTATTTTTAATTTGAATATTGGCTCCCTTTTCTTTTTGGCCCACCCTGTATAAATGCAGCCGAGCACATGGAGCTCACTCTGAACAAAGCGTCGTCGTCATCGCAGCAGTCGGAGACGGCGAATGCGGACGACGACGACAGTCCGTCGGAAGGCGAGGAGTTGCCAATGACGACGACGACAATGACCGTAGTCGCCAATAACAGCAACGGGACTTCCAGCAAGCAGAATAATAAGAAGGAATTGGCGTCTGGTGCCAAGTTGAGGCGGATCGGCCGAACTCTGCACGCCTTTGCTGCCAATAAGCGGACTTTACTGACGAAGGATCCGAATCAGCAGCAGTCGGTGGTTATTCATCATGCTGATGATGTCGTGTTGGATGAAACCGAAGATGATGACGACGACGACGACGTCGTCAACAACGAAAATCATAAAGAAAAGTGACGTACAGTACTCTTCATTGTTGAATTTTGAATTCTTTGTTGCAATAAAAACGTTGCTGCTCTGTTAGTGTCTATATAAAGGCCCCCTGCATTCAGTATGATACGGCTCCGAAATTTTCAGTCTTGATGCTTTGTTATACATAAATTACTTCAAGGAGTCCTCAAGAAATTCCTCATCAAGAGTTATGATTTCTGAAGTGATGGGTTGAATATTCCAAATTATAATGCATCATCAACACAATGACGAATTTTTTTTTTCATCAGAATACCGAGACAAGACATTGTCAGCACAGAAGCAACCAGCAAAAGTTTACACGCAGTTGAAAATAATCTCTGCTGAATTTTCTAAATATAATATGGGATTATGTTTGGGGTTTTGTCCTACGCTAATAAGAACAGGAATAAATTACAGTACTGTACTCGCAATCCCTCTCATTAGACAAGCAAGAAAAAATTATGATGATTTCAGAAAGAAATGCAGGGAAAACCACCCGAAAAAATCAATTTTGTGTTTGTTGTGATTCTATCTTTTGCATGTGTTGGTGTGTTTCTTCTTGCATCATCCAATTTCCATGTCATTATTGTTTCGTTATTGATTCTCGTCGTCAGGTGGCAAGAAAATGATGGAGAGGGCACCATCAGCAAACCGCATCACAGCAACAAGTTGAATAACTTGTTGGCATTGGCCAAGAAATCCACCAACAGAACCGGTTTCTATAAAATTTCCGAATCCAAGTGAGTGAATTAATATATATTCACTGATGTACGATACAGTCTACCGTATTATGTATGCACGCCTGAAGAATTAAATTGCAGTCTGGCACCGTTTGTAAATACTGTACTACAGTGATTACAATTTGATGAATAATGTCCATAGGTGTTGCTGATTTTAGCTCGATGATATTTCAGTCCAGATTTGAAGAAAGTGCTGTACTGTACAACATATTTCGTAATTTCTCAACAGTCGAGGATGAATAAGGAATTGAAATGTATAGAAACAGAGTCAAAGACACAATTTATTAATTATACAGTACCTTTCAAGTGAGAGTTTCATACGTACTCGAGCATTGCATCCAGTATATAGGTGCCGTTATAATTAAACACTCGCTTTTTCAATTCCCAATCAAATCTTTCCGTAGGCCGACAAAAAATGATTCATCCGCTTCACCAACAATCATCAGGACGGACAGGAAAATGTCCAACTCTTCAAAGAGGAAGAATAACAGGGATTACGCGTTGGAAAGTTCGCAAGGCAGTGAAGAAAAGCTGGACGACGTCGACAAGCAGGACAGCCTTTATAAAATGCAGAATAATGCAGGCAAGTGAGAAAAAAAATGCATTGAAGGAAATCTCTTTGCCTTCGTGTCCAAAGTACTGTACTGTACTGTATATAAACAGTACAGGACTTAATTTCACCGTACAGCAGTTTATCCGTATTTAATGATAATCATTTTCAGGATATGCTAGATGTCGCTGCTGCATTGTATCTGTTATTGAAATGCCTATGCAGTATTGTTTTGTCTTATTGGAACTAAACCTGACTGAAGTGGATGCAACATGCTTCCATTCCCTGTGAATGAAGAGATTAGTGGAACTGATGGAATGAATGCTGATCGAAGATAATTATTATGCAGTATTCTTCAGAAGACCACTCAGTTTTTTTAAAATAAGGGGAAAAAATCTGAAAATACCAGAAAAGCAATATATAATTGTTTGTATAGGCAGGTCAGTTGTAAAAATTGTTTCCAGGCATTAATATCAAAATCTTGGTCTTCAGTACCTGCATAACAAACTTTTTCTGAAGTTCCCCAACATTTTTTCTTTTTTCTATATTGAAGTAATGAGCTTCTCTTCTCCGTATGCGGCAGATGACGGGCCACGTGAGCAGCAGCAACAGCAACAGCACAAGTCCAGCAGCAATGACAAGCCGAAAATGCGGTTCCTGCGCCGCTACTGGGCCTCGGAAAACACCAATAAGGACCGGAAGAGCAATGCGGACGAAGACGAGTTGCGGCGACGGTCGACGGTGGGTGCGGAAGTGCTGCTGACGACGACGAGACCCGATAAGGCCAGTGATGATGATGATGATTTGCCGCAAGAAGAAGAAGAAGGTGGAGATCGTGACCTACTGGCCCGCCGAAATGGGTCATCGTCGAGCCCCATCGGGAATAAATCCAATGAGGGGTTCGCATCGGGTCGCAGACGGGGACTCCGGCATCGCGGGGCCGTGCGCAAGGTCAGCGGGCAACACGGCCGCGACTACTGGAAAGTGCAAAAGTAGGTCAATCAATCAACCATTCATTCGTCAAATCCTATACATATATAGATACTCAAGCTCATATATGTGTTATTGCTGCTGTCATCGCGTCAAACGGACATTATTTGACGCATTCAGAACCTGGGAGGAGGAAGCAGCAAACAATAAGTTTTAGCTGTTTTTAATCCTTCTTGAAATTTGCGCGTCAAAGTGTATACCGCATATTCTGCACGCAAAAGAGATTTGCCTCGTTTAGAAAATAGCATCAACCCGATATTTATACGCAGTATACAGCTTGTACAGTATAGGCATTTTTACAACCTTTAATGAGAACATGAAAGGTACGCTTGTTCTTATTGACCCGATGGCGCGACGATAAACGAGCTGCATGAAAAAGACCAGACAACTAATTTTTTTGAACTAATTCTTTTTTGATCAACATCATGCTGTGAACTTATATTAAATGCAATTTCCAATGAAGTCCAATAATTGGAAAACATGACCCGACGTGTGAGTATACTGCATACGCATTCCAACTTACACACAGCAGGGACAATAATAAGGTTCAAGCACCAATTCCGTAATCCGCATCTTGGGCCAAGCAGTGTATGATGTAATTGCCCTTGATGCTGACTCGGGACTTTACTACAGTACTTATTTTCTTTTTTATTCATTTCTTGTACTGATTGATGCTCATGTTTCAAATGAAAATGAAGGGATGAATTTAAATTTGGAAAAATAAAACAGGCTGCACGCCAAGGAGGAAAAGTCCAAGTCGTTCTGGTCGTCCGTGGGCCAGCGGATCCTGCAGAGCAGCATGTTCGACAACCGGGAGGCCCGTGCGGGGGCCATCTTCAACCCGCTGCGTGGCTTGAAGTTGCAGGACCGCTTCCCCATCTCCCCGTTTGCGCAGATGCAATTGCTGGATGATGACGAAGAAGAAGAAGATGCTAATGATGATGACAAGGAGGAGGAGACACAGCAGTCATCAAGTGTCAACCATCATCAGTTGTCATCATCATCACCACCACCACCACCACCTGCTGATGCTACTGCTGGTGATAGATTTGTTTCACTCGTTTCAATCTATCAAATTCATTGTCGAAGGGGGGTGGGGGGAGGGAGGGATAATCTTTGGATTTCTCAATTGTCCTCCATTATGTGACAAATGAAATGTACTGTATATACAGCAGTGGTGGGACCCCGATATCTGGACTATATAGGAATCAAGATGCAGAAGCCACGTATTTCCAACATTTGTAGAAAAATTGGAAAATTTCCGTGAAAAAATGGAGCTTTTTGGAGACGCATCATTCATTCAACAAAGTTATTATAGATTCACTGTAATTTATAATCCGGTAACAGGTAAATTTGGTGCTTTTCTTTCCCCGTCTTTTGTTGTGCACATCAGTTTAGCAAGACTTGTTCTTTGCTTCTGAAGCTTATTGTTTCCTATAGTCCGAAAGATCAGATTCTGCCTGCTGATATAGTTTTCTTCTGCACAATTGTTTTCCGTGACTCCAAGGTGAGAAAATAACAAAGGTTTATATCCACTATATACTTTGGGGACATTTTTCATCAGGTCTTATTGATGAACAGGATGAGAACCAATGAAATACAGTGTGTTGCCAGTATATTTGAGGCCTATATGTTGAGCAAAAAATGTGATCCAACATGTGATAGGTAACACATAATCCAAGCAACAATTATGTCCGTATATATCTCGGGGTCCCCCACTGTATTATACAGTAATGTTGCAGTACAGTATACAGTATATTGATGAAGGCAATCTCGCTAGTATACAGTATATCCATAAGCATGTTTGTAAACAGGATTTGTGTTGAATGATGTGCAGGAAAGAATGACAAAAAGGAAAAGAAAAAGAAGGAGGAGGATGAGGATGAGGATGAAGACGACGAAGAGACTGATGACGGGGCCCTGTTCAAGAGCATCAAGGAGGCCTACGACACGGCCATCAAGAAGATCTTCCTCGTGGACGCCGGCCTGGCCTTCAACTCCCCGTTCCCGCTGGTCCTAAGGCCCCAGAGAGGAGTGGACCTCTTCATCTCCTTCGACTTTAGCGGCCGCATCTCGGACAACATTCCCCCTTTCAAGGTGCACTTCTCTATCCTCTATGCTCAGTCTACTCTACTCTACTCTATACTCATGTACTGATGCTGGAGCAGAAACGAGTGAACCAAACCTTTTGGGCACTATTGTATACTGTATGCTTATCAACACTGGGATGTAGGACAAATCAAGACAGACAATTTGTGACCGGAGCATTTTCAAAATGACTTCCGTGTGTTTCTCCCTTTTATCACATGTTGAAAGTGTGAAAAGGAACAAAAATTACACTATTTGGTCTGATAATTACAGCAATACTTTGCGAGTGGGGAAATTGGTGCACACTGGGGATTTGTTTGTAATTCTACACAATGACCCTAATGTGCACCTGAAGTGTACTAAAGTTCTTCTGTTGCACATGCATATCCCCAATGTGCAGCAATTGTGCTGTGTTCACACCAGGATTACTCAGGGTCACATTTGTAAACAAATAAGTTACACCAAGGTTACAGTTGGCGCATTTGCGTGATACTCCTGTTCTGTCACATTTGTGCACCAAGTGTTGCCCTGAAATGGTAGCAAAATTTCCTCTACAGGAGTGCACACTTGTAACCCCAGAATATCCGATATGCACCAATTGTGACCCTGGTGTGCACCTACTGTGGGGTCACAGCAAAAATAGCTCCCCACTTGGGTTAGTCAAGTAACTGAAGCAATACAGCAACTAATATAGGATTTAAACAGTTGGGCGGGATATGGGGAAAATCAGAGATGTTATTAGTGCAATGGAAAATTAGTTGTAAAAGAAAAAAGCAATTGTGTGTGCAGAATGATTTGGTTTTAGGGACTTTCTCTCAATAATCACGCCTGTCTTGAATAGTCCCGTCTGTCTTCATTTGTCTGTGTCAACCCTCACAACAGAAAACTGGAATGCTTTTCTACAACGCTCTTATTCTTGCTTTTCTGGCAAATGACAACAGCTGTGCTGGAGCAGATGACAAAAAAATCCGTGTTTCTTCCTTATTTTTGATTGCAATTATTGTGCAAGGTTTGCACAATAACGGTAAAAAGGTATTGTAATAGCTCGTTTGTTTTTGTTTTTCTTTCTTCTGGGATTATTGTACAGAATATTGGGCTTCAGAGATCGTTTGATATTTTTCTCGTATCAATGCAATGACCATCTTTCCACACTTGCATATAGGACTGTAACGACATTTTATTTCGAGGTTTATAATTGTTTACTGTACTTTCAAGTGTAATTTATATTTATTTTAAAATTATCAGCAAATGTGTGGGATCAACTACTCATAACTCGCTCGCTTCTCAATTTGGGGATTGATTGCATAGCAATTAAAATTTGCAATAGAATCACCCAAGCTAGTGTCCAGAGTAATTTTTTCCTTCCTAACTTCAAGAAAAAAGGTTGGCGTGATACTTTACAGTATTTGAATGAGAGTTATTACGATGTCATTCAAATGACATGTATTTGTTCTTACAATCAGAAATGAGAAGAAAATGAATACTTTTCTTTCCTCACCTCGAATCCACTCACTTGCCAATAAAAAGTAATCATGAGAAGAATAATGTAAAAAAATTCAAAATTATTCCAGCGGTGGTCGTATTGTCGAGAAATAATGAAGCCTTTGTCACATTCAAACTCCATTACTGTACTGAACTGTTGATGCAAATACTGTACTGCACAGTGAATAATAATAATGAAACAAACAGGAACTGCTGCTGGCTGAAAAGTGGGCGAAACAGAACAACATTCCGTTTCCCCCCGTGGAGAAGAAAGTCAGGGAGACTCTCATCAAAGAGCCCGTGCGGGAGTTTTACGTGTTCAAAGACGACAACGATCCCACGTGTCCGGTCGTCATCCACATCGTCCTGCACAACGGCTCATTCCGCGAATTCGACATCAATGGTAAGAGTGGACATCATCAACGAGTTTATATGCACCCATTATTCGCACTCATGTATTTTCATCAGCCACGAATGATTCATTTATACTGTATGTCTGTGTTGAAAATGAAAAAAAAAAAAAAGGAATTTCCCCCTCGAAATCAGCCGCGCACGCTCGATTTGCTTCAAACGATAAGTGGGTATATATATCCCTGCTTGCTTGGCGAGACAAACTGCTGCACGCCAATGAAGAATTTGCGCAAATGAATATTTTTTTCTTATGGGGAAACATTTCCTTGATTGACAAAAAACAAATTGAGCAAAAAAATGGAGGCAACGAATTTTCATTCCAATATGAATGTTTATATGTAGGAAAAGCGCGCAGCGAGGCCAAAGACCGGGACTTTGCCGACTTCCACGTGTTCTCCGACCCCGAGAACCCCTACTCCACTTTCAACTTCCGCTTCACGGGCAAGTCCTTCGACAGACTCGTGGCCCTCATGGAGTACAACACGCTGAAGGCCCTGGAGGACGTCAAGGCCGAGCTGCGGTCCGTGGTGAGGGCCAAGCGGGCGGCCAAACACGAGCCAGCAGCCGTCAAATCGGTCAAGGACCTGCTCAGCTTCAAGTTCTCCTTCAGCAACGACGGCTCCGAGCGACTCAAGCAGCTGGTGGAAAGGATGCGAAGCTCTGCAGCAGCAGCTGCTGCTTCATCATCAGCAACAGTCACCTAGTGGTAGAAGTACTGATGATGACCGTCAATCAATCAATCAATAAATCGATTGATTGATCCACAAACACTGTACGTCAATCAGCGCCGTCCAGCTGCTGCTGCTGCTCCTCTTGCTCTTGTTGTTGGCCGTGTGTTCATTTTTATGTGTAGTCCCGAAACTGCGTGCCTATATATTTTATTCATGCGTGTGTATGTCCCGCCAATTTTACTATTGGCAAAGACCAAAGTTTCACGCATTCCCCCGCTGCCTGCTGATGGTCTTCATACTGTATGTGGTCGTTGAGGAATAACTTACCTTAGCATAAATTTTTAATACTGTATTTGCTAGTGGATCAGAAATTGATGGATAAAGTAAAGTTTGAAAAGATTTGAAATTGGGAAATGAAAAACAGAATCAGCCTGGGACAAGGCCGGGAATCCTTTTCGGATTTCCTAGTTTAAATTGAATGAATGTATTTCAACTTTTGTCCCACAAGTTAATTATTGCACAAAGACACAATTTTTAACAAACACAACAACTCAACAGAACTCTTCCAGAGATTTTTCAGGATTTCACAGCAAGTGATCATGCCAAAAGTTTGATCACAAATGTCTTTGGTAAATTTGGGAGGAAAACGGAAATGGGTTTCTGGTTTTCTTTTGTTTTTTTTTTGTGGTTATCCTTGGTGAGTTCCTTCCCATTGAGAGTTGGAACTCTTATCTGATTTCGCAGTTTTTGTGTTTCAATAATTTTACTTTTAGCGTAATTTGGCATGCGTGGTTTCCCAACAGTGGTGCAGGTCATATCTTAGGTTATATCATTGAACTACCCTCAAGGACTCTTGCGAAATTTGTAAAAAAAAAAAAAGGTGATTATTATGTATTTGGTGGAATCTAAAATCAGTTTATTTTTCTGATGACTGGACTATAATATTATAACGCTAATTTCTCAACAGAATACAGTTTTTAAAAATTATTGTGGTGAAAGCAGCCAAGTTTTCCTGCCTTAGAATGTTATTGTTGACAATTTAATTTTTTCTTTGAAGGAACAAGTTTTTTTTCAGCTGCTATATGAGTGATGGTTAATATTAATGCGGATTTGTTTTTTCAAAGGCGGGAAAAAAGAAGTCGAAAGAGAAAAACTGAAATCCTGACGAATGCAAGTTAAACAACAATGGAAAAAGCCCTGCAGAGGAAAAAAGACCTGTAATGAATCTTGAGAATGTTTTATTATCGCGAGGTTTTTCCTATAGCATCATGATGTCCGTCCATCCTATTTTTGTCAGGAGCTCTGGAATGTTTTGATCGTGTCATATTTGTTGCAATAGAATTTCACCTGCATTTTGTCTCCCTTTTCGATGATGAACTCTATATATATATACAGAATAACGTATTCACATTTTATGTCAAAATGTGTTCCTCCTCTGCATTTTCCCCACACAGACGACGAAATTGTCAATTTTTGGACTGATGGGATGCGCACAATTTCGGTGGGGTGCTGCTTGGAGTGTTTTCCAATTTTGAGGGGTTTCATCATGTATACAGACGTCGATGTTCGAGCGAGCGCTCAAATTGATCTTGACAATGCCATTCAAATGGATGGGATTCATTTTCACTGGATCCGTGGTTGGAAGTTAAATTTTCAAAGAATGGAATGATGCGATGCATTTTATCCGGAAAAGAGAAAGAAAAAGAAACTTGTCTCCGGAATGTCGAGGGACCCTATTTCCCGCTGCAGACAATCAATCAATCCATCAAACTGTCGTCTTTCACGATTCTGACGCGCGTTGGCATATTTTGTTTTTATTATTTTTCCTTGGTCAGGATTGCATTTATTTTTATTTGATGTTTTGAAGAAGCGGCAAATTTTGTCGTGGTTGCGGCATTATTTTATGGTGTGATGGCTTTAAACGTTTTTTTCAGTTACAAGTATTTCGCGGGAGGATTTCTCATCATCGATGATGCACCGCAACGAGAACGTCCCTAAATTGGGGAATAAAGAGAAGAAAACTCTGGGATTCGACGGCGTCTTTCTCTGAACTGCTGTGGCTCATCGAAACAAATTCCCGAAATCCATGGGGTGGACCAGAGAAAATTTGAACAAATTTCCAAACATTAGTGATCTTGTTTTGATCAAACATGTGCTGGTTGAGGTAGAATACCGTACTTCAAATGAATGTCAACTTCAAATTTTGTACTTTAGTTTTAAAAAATGCAGCTTCACTGATATGCGAAAAAAAAGCGTTCAACTTTGCATTTCAATTCTTATTTTTTTATTCCTTGATAGGTTGACAAGAAAAAATGCAGTCATTTTGAATGGAATCAGTAAAGTGCAGTCAATGTGTGCTTAATTCTCCCAGTCTCAATTTCTCAAGTGTAACATCAATATAAAGACAGAGAAAAGATCCTAATCACTCAATTTTGTCAGAATAATTGTGATGTTGTAGACTCAAGTAAATTACTAGCTGATCTTGCTTGTGGCAATACTATACCGTTACTATTTGTATCATCTAACATCCCCAGTCTCAATTGATCAGGAAGAAGAATTGAGACACATGTGCCCTCCTTTGCAGAGAAAAATAAACTCATTTCATACTGCTTTTTTAGGGGGGGAGAGATTGTATAAGACATCATGACAGAATGTGAAACCCTGTAATTTACATCCCTGGCAAATCCAAAAATGCTGAGATTAATAAGCTTGGGTCAACGTTTTAAAGAATGCTTTGATGGTACTTTCTTTCTTTTATAATTGAGATGATTTTCTAAATTCAGCTGTTAAAACTATGTGCAATAAGATCATTGCAAATAGGACCCATAATTAAATTAACCTGAGTTTCATATTGCAGGTAGACTGTCTCTACAACGATTTTTTTCTGTAAAACTGATTTTCTTTTGGTCCCTATACAGTGGTCTCTATTATATACCCATGTCATGGAGGTTCTCTAAAATGAAATTCTCCATAGAAAGAATTTGTTGTGATCACCTGAATTTCATTGCAGAGAGTGTCAACCTGTATAATATAAAGTTATCTCTAGGATCATTCTTGATCCATTGCAGCTGTTTGTTGGAGAAATCAGTCTTACTTTCAATGGTCCACCCTTGTAAAATATAGAGAAGCAAAAAGCTCTACAGTATAGTGAATTTTCTGCATGTACAGTATACTGTATATACCTCCTCTGTCACAGATCACACATACTGTATATGGTCCATCTCTGAAGGAATGAGTGAGTGAGTGAGTGAGTGAATGAATGAACATCACCTGTGTCCTGACTTCAGTTTTGAAGCGCGCATTGAGTAACACCAAGTGGTGCCGGCGACCTTTGCCACCAACCCCGAGGGACGCCCGAAACGTCATGAAGCTCATCATTGACTGCGACGCCGGGGTCGACGACGCCATGGCCCTCATCATGGCCCTGGACTACGTGAGGAAAGGGAAGGCCCAAGTCCTGGCCGTCACTTGCGTCCAGGGCAACACTGGGCTGGACAACGTGGTGGTCAACGTGCTGAGGACCATGAACGCCATGGATATCCAGGTTATAATATCTGTCCAAAAAAAACAAAACAAAAAAGATGCAGCATTGTTTTTTTTTCTTCCTTGTTTCGGTTCTCAGTCTTTTAAAATTTAAAACCTATATTTGGTGCCCGGCCCTATATTATACAGTACTTGAATAAGCTGGTGTGGTGAATTCTTGAATTGTACTGGAATACAGAGGGAAATCTTGTTTGGTTAGAATAAGCTTTCTTATAATATATGTACATGGTTTTTATTATGTACTGTAAATGGTTTTCCTTGTAACGTAAAGTACATCATTTGAATAACATTGTGGCTATTGGGTATAGGGATTGTAGAAAATAATCCATTTTTAGCAGCATTGACTTTGTTGTAATGAGATTTTTGTAGCACAACTCCATTGTCTATATTATGTATCAGTAGGAGGAGCTAACATTGTTTTCATGGTAACAAGTATACTATATTTACTCAAGTACCAGGCGCACCTTTTTCCCCAAATTTCAGAAGAAAAAAAAAGGGGTGCGCATCATAATAAGAGTGTACAAAATTTTCAAGAAGTTTTAGGAAGTGATGTGTGCATCATACTTAATTATAATGGAGAAATTTGGAACAAATATAAGAAGAAAACATGTTTGTACTGAAAAAGTTGAAAATTGATTGGACTTTTGTTCAATTCATGCCTGAAGTCAAATTTTTTGTTTTTATTTTTGAAATTTTATTGGTTTTAGATTCAGTAAAAATTGGGGTTTGCGTCTTACTCGGGGATAAGATTTTTGCAAAATTTTCAACTGAAAAACCCCTGTGCGCGCCTTACTCCAGGGTGCATGATGCTCAAGTAAATACAGTACATATATAGACATCAATTTAAGACATAATATGTGAATTTATACTTTTTCAATTATTTCCAAATGTATCCAATTATTGTTGGCTTGCCGCAAAGTTGAGCAGTTGAGAGAAATGAAGCTTGTTTTTTTGTTTTATTAAGAAGAAAGACATTTTTCTGTTATGTGTATGGTTATTTTCAGATTTCATCTCATGAACTGAGTTGCACCAGAGAGGAAATTTCGACAGCCAAATCTTGAAGCATATCTATATTTATGTTTATCCCTTGGGTTTTGCAGGTTCCAGTTTACAGAGGTGCCAAAGATCCTCTGATTGGCCCCTACATCAGACATGGCCCTCCCTTCCATGGTGAAGATGGACTAGGTGATGCACACTTTGACACTACTCCAGACCTCAGTGTGGTGTCCAGTGAACATGCCTCACTGGCCATTGCAAGACTTGTGAGGGACAATCCTGGTGAGGACTTGTACAGTATACACCAGCAGTGCAGTTTGTTTCACACAAATGCTATGATCTTCTTTATAAATCAATCAATCCATTTATTATCAATGGTTGTCAAGGGTATATAATGGAAGAAACATTTCACTATCTTGTCATTAAGGTGCCATAGTTGATTCCCTGGAATGTCTCTCCTTTACATTCAATAGCATTGGATAGAATAAGCCCATTTTAAAGAGAACTTCTTCATGTCTTGCAAATTATAATTTGTTGTCTGACAAAATAGGTTTTACAGTAAATCGATATGAAACTTCGATTTACCAACTTTTATAAAGATCACCAAATTCTGTTTGACTCTTTTTATTATTCGCTCCTTTAAGTCGGGCGCGCCTCAAACCAGCAACACACAGTTGTTAAGTGGAAATAAATGTATATCTCTTCTTATTCAATCAATCATGTATTTCCAATACATATCCTACAACGTACTCTTCTCCTCAAGAGGGTATCAACCACTGAAGAAANATCCTACAACGTACTCTTCTCCTCAAGAGGGTATCAACCACTGAAGAAATATAAGGAAGAAAAAGAGCTTTTATCAACTTGGAAGGCAATGTCGGGATCATCAAATAAAAGTGGGAAAAGGGGATGGACAACCAGTTTGGACTAATATATTCAGCCCGCCTGAGACCCGATCAGATATACATGTACAAGAAACAGAGTTGCACAACTTGGAAGGCAATGTCGGGATCATCAAATAAAAGTGGGGAAAGGGGATGGACAACCAGTTTGGACTAATATATTCAGCCCGCCTGAGACCCGATCAGATATGCATGTACAAGAAACAGAGTTGCACGAGATTGCGCCGTCCTGCATTAATGAGCAGGTGCGCTCGGTCCTTTTGGGCCACCAGGGGCTTTCATGAAATTAGGGTCGTACATTAATGGCATATGCATGTACAAGAAACAGAGTTGCACGAGATTGCGCCGTCCTGCATTAATGAGCAGGTGCGCTCGGTCCTTTTGGGCCACCAGGGGCTTTCATGAAATTAGGGTCGTACATTAAGGGCATGATAACATTCTCCCGGCGCAACAGGAAAAAGCCTGCTTTTTCCAAGTCAGTGAACCATGAAGTGCCCTTTTATCAAAGTGCGAAAAAACGCAACAGTGTTCACCCTTTTCAATGGACCGGAAAGGTGATACAATTGTATCCCTGTGCAAAAATATTTGCCGTGCTTTCTGCTTTCTTTCACCAAAATATTTCGACATTCTGATCAGAGCTCTTGGCGAGAGAACACGCGTTTAAAAATCTGATTTAAAAATTTCCAAAATATGATTGCTAAAAGGTTGTCAATTATCGCCTTTTGTATTATTTTATATCCTTTTAATAATACAAATGGAGATAGTCCGAATTGTGAATTAATCGATTCAAATTGGAATTGTAAAGATTTATGCAAAGAAGGTGTTCGAAACGCCTTTGCTTATGACGGAGTGGTTAAATTAATTGGGGATGTGCTGGACTTCACATGCGCATCCTTCAATCAAATCAAGGTAAAATAAAATTCACAAATATAAATTCGCGAAAATAATATTCATATGTTGTAGGTGATCTTGTTGAGTGGAGACGTTGCTTGTGTTGGTGCTCCCAGCACTGATATTGAGTTGCGAGGAGGCAGGTGCGTCGAAAAAGTGATTTCGGCCAATTCGTCTCCTGTGGTAGTGGAGATTCCAATTTTCACAACCGCAGCTCCCCAAAACTGCAGCTGTCGTTGTTGTCACCCCTACCAAAGAAAACTTCACCAAGGGTCACTTCACCTCCTCTACAGTATAGGAGTAGGTTGTGAGCGCCAGCAGTGTTTAGTTAGTAAGTTGTTATTTACCATCACAGAAATTGTGAAAACAATATTGGCGGGTACCACAAATTTTAATCCAGTAATTGCGCACGTGTCATCGGGATTGCTGTTATTGATCCTAATTTTGGGATTAATAATGGGTTCGGTGACCATGTTCGCGATTAATTGGGTTTATAATTGCGTCCGTCGTCGCTTTTTGGTAAGTGCAATTTTTGTACGAAAATGACTGTTTAAACATTTTCGTCGAATTTTACACTTATAGATTTCAAGAAGGCCAGCCAGATCTGCATCACCGGAGCGCGTCGAATTGGAAGGGATTGTTGCCAGCAAAGTGGAAGATGTGGAGAACGACAGAGGGAATGCTGATTCGGGCGGTAGTCTAGATTCTTTGCTTCCAATGGCCTCTTTTCAAGATATTCCATTAAATATAACGCGACATGATTCAGTGGCATCACTTTTAAATGGTGAAGGGGTTTTAACTGAAAATAAAATAAAAATAACTTCTGGAGGTCAGACCGAAAAATATAAATGGGTGCGTCAAAATAAAGAGGGAAATCCGGAAAACGTGCAATTCACGCGAGTAATAAAAATAGCGGATCCTGTACTCGGTGCTGGTGCTATTGTTTCCGAAATTGATCGCGAGTGACAATTTTGTATGATTTGTCAAAAGATTTGAATACCAGAAGACAAAAATATACTGGTATACAGAGAATTCAAAGAGTGAGTTTTTTATTCTTTTTAGAAACAGGAGTCATCGACAGGTTCATTTAGGGAGTCATCGAGTATAGGGGTGCGCGGAAGGACCCGATTTTTATTGCCTCTTTAGCGTTAACGCTGACGTTTTCTGTCACACATAGGGATCGATATTTAGGGTAGGAACCAGTTTAAAATTACGTCAGGGATGTACGGTGCCATACTCGGTAGTGTGATTTCGAGATTGCCAAAATTCTTCTGGACCCCAAGCTTAGGAGGTCCTCTGTTCCAAAGACCTCTGACCCCAGAGAAAGCAGCACATTATAGTTTAGTGCTCTCTTTTTCTGGGATCAACGGCCTCTAGCTGTAGCTGTGTACTTTAGGAAAAGTCTCACTATCAGAGTAGTACATCTATAATTTTTTAATTATTATACAAATTTTATTGAGGGGTATGTTCTAGTATTTGTAGTTGACATTAGTTCAATTCCATCCATTTGTCTAATTATCTCATTTCTCCTTTTCCGAATAAGATACACTTTTATTTTGGCATAACAAAAGTAAAGAAAACAAAATAATATCATCGCTGAAGTTATGGACAGCCCAATAAGATATATATGTCCATAGTCTCGGAAATGTAATTGTATTTCACTAATATCATCTTTTATTTTTCTTTTGTCTGATTCTGGAATAATTTCAGTTACTGTTTTTATTTCAACACCTTGTATATCTAAATTATGTATATTATCTGATAATGGTCCATTGATCATTGTGTATCTACAAGCATTATGAAATTGTAGAATACCAGAAAATGGTAATTCATAAGAATTTTGAGTAGGACCTTTTCCTTGGTCCTCACAGTACTGAGTAATTCTGCTTTCCTTAAGATTAGTGAAAGCAAATTCATCATCATCCAATCTAATAAATTGTCTTTCTGGAGCATTTATTTTTTCCATAGTACATTGCTGATTTACTTCTTTTTCTTCTCTGTTCCTTAGAATAGCAATAAGACATTCGTCAGCATGACGATTTGGGATAATAGAGAATTTACATAATTGACATCTAGAAAAGTCAATGGAAGATAGACAATCAGGTAATTCGTTCTTTTGTAACCCAAATATTTTGTTAGAATTCATTAATATATATTCAGATATTAATTTTGCCTTTTTCCATTTAGGATTTCCTAAATAAGTTTCCTCTGCTATCGGAAAACTATGAACTTTAAATAAATTAAAAAATGAGGTTTCAGTTAGTACAGGGATGATTACCATCACGTGATACATACAGGAAGCGGGTAATACGGAGGTAGAGTCAGTATTGCAATTATGGAATATCCCAATTGTGAGTGGGTTGGTATGGATGATATTAATAAGCTCTGCATCCGTGAGTACGCTGTTTTCTTTTTGTAGGAATTTTGACAGAGCGGTACGCAGATTATTGGGGGATATAAAATATTCAGGGAATTTCAAATCATTTCTGTACTCTATTTCGGTTAGCAATGTTTGTAGGTTGATGTTTATATTGTTTAGTTGGGCATGCATGGATAGAGTTAATGATTCGAATTCTCCACTAGACATGTTTATTCTTGCATTTGCATCCAAACTATTGAAATAATTGGTTATATTTTCCAGAGTATTGAATATGTCACTTGCATTTGGGGATTTCAATATTATTCTATTGGATTCGAAGGAAGTTGAGTCTTGCTCAGGAATGTTTTTTAGGTTATTCATTAATGATTTTTCAGAAAAATAGGAAAATACTAAGAGTTAATGATTCAAATTCTCCACTAGACATGTTTATTCTTGCATTTGCATCCAAGTTATTGAAATAGTTGGTTATATTTTCCAGAGTGTTGAATATATCACTTGCATTTGGGGATTTCAAAATTATTCGATTGGATTCGAAGGAAGTTGAGTCTTGCTCAGGAATATTTTTTAAGTTATTCATTAATGATTTTTCAGAAAAATAGGAAAATACTCTTGAGGGCATTTTTTCATATATAAATGCTTTGTCGTATAAAGAACTGCTAAGGGAAACTAAAGTATTTATTGCTGTTTGTATTCCATTTGCATCATTAATGATTTTTCAGAAAAATAGGAAAATACTCTTGAGGGCATTTTTTCATATATAAATGCTTTGTCGTATAAAGAGCTGCTAAGGGAAACTAAAGTATTTATTGCTGTTTGTATTCCATTTGCAATATTAGGTACTTGCCGAATATAGGTAGGATCTCTAATTGACATTAAATATATAGTTAGAATATTTACCAGGTTGTTGGCTTTAGATTGATATTCTCCTATTGGTATAGATCTTTCCACTGTCCATTTTGTTGAGGGAATACATACAGGATATACATTGGAGAAAGTTATTCCTTTGTTGTTCGGAAAATTTCGAATAGGTGAAAATTGATTAGTTTGTTTAGTTGTACCAACAACACCTTTTCCTTCAGGAAGTTCTTCTATGGTCAGTGATAAGGTTATAGGACAAAGACATATACTTCCGCAAATATACAACATAAAAACAATTGTACACATTTTCACTCAATAGGCTTTTCAGGATCTATACCTGGTACTACCTGAGAAGAGGGTTCTTGAAGCTGACTGCTAAGGTCATAACCATGAAGCGCAGACCGCAGTTCCTAAAAAACAGCAACAAGAGCAACGGAAAGAAGATAGAAGACCTATCCCTGTCCCTAGGAAGGAACCGCTCAAGCCGACTATATTATATTTCCGGGGTCAAGTCCAGATAAGGCTCGAGGACCATAGGGTTCACGTCCCTTGTCCTTGACGGGCGTACTTCGATCTTCTGGTGCAAAGGTCCGACGAAAGATAGGCTCTTCCTCTACAAAATCATCTCCAATTTCATTAGTTAAATTCCCGAAGAATTCTTGAGTTCCCTTATAAAACTTTTTAGCAATATCTATAATTCTAGCAGGGGCTGAAGGCACTTTGGGGGATACAGCTGCTTGCTCGGGGGTCTTTGGAATTTCCTCTAATGTTGTTTCTTGGGTTTTAGTTAATTCGATATCTAGCTGTTTATTCTTTTCTGTTAATGTCTCAGGTTGAATTCTTTTAAGAATAATTCGTGGAATGAGTTTTTTCTTAGGAGGAGTTTCTACCTTTTCAATTATTGCTGTTTCTATTGGAGTAGTTTCATCTTCATATACTATTGGTATTTGGGGATCTGTAATAGTCAAGTTGTCTTGCATAGAGAAAGAAGGTTGAGCTCTTATGGAGGATAGTTCATTTGCATTTATGATTTCATCATTTTTATAATAAGGTCTTAAGTAGCTGGCATGTGCTATATCGCTCCATTCGGTCTTTTGATCCTTAATCCTATAAGTGACAGGATTAATAACCTGTGTGATTAGATACGGTCCTTTATATTTTTGTGACCACTTTCTTCCTACGTATGTTAAATAATCATGAGTGCGTAATAAGACTAGATCATTAACCTTGTATGGG